CTTAAAAGGTCCCAGCAGTTTTCCGCTTTTTCATGTCTGGTGGCCAAGCACCGCAAACGCCTCCATTTTCGAAAGCACTACACTAGGATTATCCAATCGTAGGGTGTGTCGCTGAGAATCAAAGATCCTGTCAACTTCTCGCTGCCTGTGCGATTTTACCATGACGGTAGGGTAAGTTGTTTACCCACGGGTGCCCTGGGACTTCAGCGAACGCTGATACTGCCGGCCCTTGGGTCGGTCTCAGAGAGAACCCTCCACATATGGAGCAAAAGGTCATATTTCTCGAGCGGGAAAGGTGCTGGACTAATGTGGCACGCGAATGAAATGAATGGGAACGTGTAGGCGTTAGCTCGTGGACTTTGATGCTCAATGATGTGAACTGACAGAAGTACTATTACGCATCACATGAACCCTTATCGTTCCAATTTTGGAAGGAAGTGACAAAAGAATGAAAAATAATTGCATCATTAGTGTGACTATTTTGAGAACCTCCGGTTAAAAAGACGAGCTATGATCCTCAACGAGTAAAAAGCAAAGCACTTCCAGGAAAACGGAAGCAGCAACCCTCCTTCTATTCACATTAGAACCTAATTCTGTGAAAGGATGAAAAGATGAACGATTTGCTGTTGACGGGACGGTTTTTGGGAAGCGCCACGCTTCTGCTCACACTAGGGGAGCAGGAACATTTTGATGCTACTCGACCAATCCATAGAAGGGCATGCGACCTAACCTTTGTGAAAATGGCTTGTTTAACATAAGCTCGATCATTTACCTCAGAAGTGCGAAGCAGGGTCGACCGTGACGTTCGCACTTTTCCAGAAATTTCGCGACCCCCCTCCTTTAGGGGTCTCGATGCGAACCCCCACCACCACCATGAGACTCAGGAGGCTCCCCCAATACAAACCCTTCCTAACCCCGACCGCCACCCTCGCCATCACGGCTTCATGGGTGTTCTATAGTATTTGATTCTGAGACCAGCCACTTCCCCTCCCAAAAAGCGTCGAGCGGGGGAGGGAGGAGAGGGTTATATATCACCTCGCCCATCACTCAACCAATTACTAATCCAACCCCTAAATGCGACCCCCTTCCAACACCAACCACATGCGACTCCCTCGTTAGAATAGTGCGAACGCACGGTTAACTCTGGTGCGGAGGTAAAGAAGGCATGGTTGCTCTAGCCAATCTTGACCCTTAGCCTTCCAGTGCTACTACTAATACTTCCACTACTATGTACCGCAAAAGGGAGTGAAAGATGATCGTGAGAATTTGCCTAAAGGAGTGGGGTTAACGAGCAGTCACTTCTGATTTGACATGCGCCTAAAGGCACGCGTCGCGATCAAATTGGTGAGCTGTCAGAAACCAGACAAGAAGTGAAAAGAGGAACGCTAGTGACAGGAAAAAGCGAAAAGCCCCATCAAAAACACTTCTTCGACCGTGGTATAACGGAGAGAGCTAAACAGGACCGCGAGGAAAGGGAGAACGCGAGAGAGCACGTCTTACGCGAGAGAGCACAGACGCCACGTGTACTGCGATTGATAAGGATGGCAGCGGTCGCAGCGTTCCAACTAGGCATCGGCTCCCTTGTCGTGTACTTTTGAGTCGTGACAGCAATATACAGTAGCGGTCAAAAGTGTTCGCCAAAATTCGCCAAAACGGTTTTCCTTGCTTTTCTTTTTTCATAGAAAAAAATCGGATAGTGGTCTCAAAAATTTTTGTTTGAACATCCGATTCTTTAAAGAGATTTTTGCACGAAAAACTAGTCAAAGAGGGAAATCGCCTAGTGTGGAGCGGGAATCTTCTGATGGTCCGTGCGGACAGACACTCGCAATCGGGCATCGAAGTTTGACCCTAATCTAGCATGCTACAAATGTTGACGAGCTCCGCGAGCCGCCCACCGATCGTCTGATCACTCGCCGTAGTACAATAGGTGGCGAGTGATTAGATAGCTGAGAGAGCGTAGGGTTGAAGAGGGCAAAGCGATGAGAGTCCCATCAATGCTCAAATCAACGGACAAGGAAGGGGTCCCATTTCTCCGGTTCTGGGCCGTTTTTCGTGGTTTCGCTTTCTTTCTGGTACTACTCACCATCTCTACCTCAATTTGGAATGGGTTGCTTTTCCATCGTAAATTCGTCCTTTAAGTTGAGAATATAAAAACACTAGAAAACAAAACATTAGTCTTTGGAGGGCGTTACTCAAGCGGCAAACAGTATAATGAACTGAAAATCGTTTCGGCGAACACTTTTGACCGCTACTGTACCTCCGTGCCTGGGGGTCCTGCTACCTCACCCAGCAACGAATTTCTCTGAGAATAGGATCGCGACCCGTGCCTTTAAGTCCCTACCCTAAAATTTAATCAAGCACGAATGAAACGCTCACTTCGAGCTGAACAGGTGGTCGGAAACATATCCAGAAAAGCCACTGGAATCGGATTTTTTTTCGTGAAAACCCGTGGCCTTCTCCGAGAAAAAGGATGTGTGTTCAGCTCAAAACCTCATACAATTCTATCCAATGCACAGAGGAGAGGTTCTTCTGCACTTTCCGCCTTGGTTAGTTCCATTCATGTCATCGTAAGATTCAATGACGTCACATGACTACTGTAAGCACCTCCGCTTTACCTCGCTGTTTGTGAGTTGCTGAACAATAGGTGATTCTCAGTATTGTTGAAAGGGTTGCAAATGGATAAATATTGCCAGCTATTATAATATTTTCTCTAACGAGATCCGCAATTTGCAGGATAATGTGAGCTTTGACGCATTGCTGGCTGGGTCTCTCATGAATTATTCAGTTGTGAGATGACACCTCCTCACATCTTTAAGTGAAGCGCAATGGAATCCTTGGGCGATTCGCCTGACATCATTTCCCACATACATCGATGACGAGAGCATCTCGCCGCGTTGTGGTGTTTCATGAAGTTTCCCCGTGAAGCGGAAGTTATTGAGCGCTCAATCGGTAATGATTTGTTTTCCGAAGACCGTTCTTTTGATAATGAGTCAAATCACGTAAGTGTTTTTATGGGAATCTGCTGAAGCAAACAGCACAACAAGTCAAAAATACACCTACCTGCGTAGTGTCGCACATCCAAGTGTTGGTGAACGGCAGATTGAGACCGACAAAATCGAAACCTCGCCGTGACGGCAAATGGGCTCCGTCGGTACTGTTCAACTGGTTGATACCCAGATGCCATTTACCGATCATCCCAGTAGCGTAGCCTGAACCAACAGACAATGGAAGGACCTTAACGGACGTCTTAACCCCTTAATTCATAGGAGATTGAACCTATACAGCCTTTTGCTGCAACAGCTGCAAATTTTATAAATAGATTGAAAAACACACGTCACTTTTCCAACCTGTAACATTCCACACCTACTCAATTTTGTTTTCATCCATGTGCAAAATATGGTAGGATAGGGTGTGCCATAAATATCGCACGAAGGTATTTGAGTCATGGAGACCGTAGTTCAAAACAAAATTCTGCAGATGCATTCCACGAACGGAAATTCTCGAGATCATTAAATATGGCTCCCTCCGGCACAATTTGCAGCTTGTGGAAGCCTGAGGTAGGCTTTGACGTCGACACACTGCGTGTCATACTTTTCGCTGATGAAAACTGGTTGAACTTGGAAAGAACTTAAAGGCAGTGGTCACTATGGCCGGAGAGTAGTGTGGTTTTGATGATGACGTCGATCTTCATTGGTGGAGGGGTTCTGTGAGGGGTACGAACCATTCGCCCACCGGCTTAGTCCACCAATCACATCCAGTGACGTCATCGAAACAGCACCGTAATCCAGCTACCGTGACCATTGCCTTCCAACGCCCGGAACCCTTTACGCTTGTTACAAGGGTTCATAAAATTTACTTGGAGAGCAGAATGGTGTGTCTCACACCCTTCATCCTTTGCTGAGAGGATCAAAGCTTTTAGACTTCCAAACTTATTTACCAATAGCGCTCATTTTAGTCCTTACGGACGTTTAAGAGGTCTGCGTTTGAACTAAGGAGATGCTTGACAAGAATTTACCCTGAGGATACTGTTCGGAACTTCTAGTATGACTCAAGAAGTACCGTTCGCTAATAAAGGATAGCTTGATGCTGGCGTGTAGTGCCAAATGTTTCCGAACTGCCTTTGAGGGTAGTAGAATGAATTTTCAGCGCGTCATTCCAGTGAATTTATGCTGAATGAGGGCGCTCTTTGGGTTACCCCAAAACTGAACTCCTGAAGAAGGCCTGGGCCAAAATTTCTCAGAAGATCCAGCGTTCCTCGGCCGAAAACATTTGAGACTCCATGAGTTTGAACCCTTCCGTTTGGTGCACTTTTAATTATCTGTGCAGAGTTTCACGTTTCATGACGTTTACGTTCAAATGGCATTTTCTATGCCATAATTATTTTGCTACCTTACTCATAGCGCACCCTGTAAGGAAAAATGTTAAGATATGAACCCTACCTGCTTCTTTAAGCATTTCGGCCATGGTCGTCTCATGCTTTGGCAATCCTCCAATATCGAAGGGCATGAAAACTCTTCTTCCACCTACGACGCCGAGACGAATAGGTAATCGGCCTGGAAATCGAACTCGTGAGAAATTCGTCACGAAATGGCAAACATTAAGTTGCCCGGAAAGTTCATTGCCCGCACTCTTTTTGCTAATATTTTAATAATGGCCCGGCTTGCACTGTCTAAGATGCTACATCCTCCGCCAACCGCTTCAGCACCAACGTTCGGGCACCCAAAGAACCACTGAGCGCCTTGACCCCGTTGATGCGTCGTACTTAAAGGGCTGAGTGGGCTGGATAAAGTGGCACCCCGCGCACTCACTTCCCAATACATATCTCCATTTTGTATGGGGGTTTTCATCGATTTCGCTTCTTTTTTTTCCCTTTGGCGCTTATTAATCCCCCGCATGTCCGTCCTGAACTCATCTCAAGATTATCGCACTCGTCGCCTCCTAGGTGACTGTAGAGGCATACAGGGCGAGATCTGGGCTACAGGTGCTCAGGGAAAAACTAGCCAGCTATACTACTGCACTTTAGCCTGGGTCATTTTGCCGCGTGAGGCCACGGAGAAAATTGACAACGACCAATGTCCCTTGACTGCAACTCGGGTTTAGCCGTAATTCGTCGAGCCCTCTTAAACCCTAACTCTGCCCAAAGTGCTGTTCTGGGTGCACAGGTACAACGCTTCCCAAAAAATGCTGAGGAAGGCCAGAATCAGCTCGCGAGAGGCTTTTCAGCGAACTACCCCTTTCAAGTCCCAAGTTTCTGCGGCCTTTCAAGTTAGTTACCACTAATGGTTGGCGGCAGACTGCTAGAATCGATGGTAGTGGCACAACCAGCGGGATCGCCCCGGACTTTGGATTTTCATATACATATTCACAACAAAAAGGCGTTGCAGGGAACTTTGCGACCATCTTATCTTCAACCGTACTGTACTCACCAGTCATGAACCCGGCTCTGCTAGGGCTACACATGCTGTCTGCCGAGTAAGCCTGAGTGAATCGTGTACCTTCATTTGCCATTCGATCTATTTCAGTGTATTCTTGCGTTGGATGGCCATATGAGGCAATGTCGCCCCAACCTGAATAGCTAAATATAGCAGCTATTTACTAGAAAACTCTGCAATAACTGATTATTATTATTGCATCAATTATGCAGTCCTAAATTATACAACTCGTTTTAACTATAAGCGATCACAGATTCCCTTGTCTAGAGCATTTGTGATATCCGTATTTTTACAAATACCCTCGTCTTCAAATGACCAGAAATTGTGCAATTGCAGAAATTGACGTGGCATTAACGTGGCATCGATTCAAGAACATCTTTGAGCACACGTGATGTCACCTTTTCATCGAGAATTTAGCCACGTGTGCCAATGCCACGTCAATTTCTGCAATTGCACAATTTCTGGCCATTTGAAGGCGAGGGTAGATATATTAATAGGGACATGGATAGAGCACAGCTCGTCTGCTGTGAACAAAATAGCACAAGTTTTTGAGTATAAACCCTATGTGAACCATTCTAATAATATGGCTGTAGACTAATCGGCTTTAATAGCGGATGATTTTACATCGAACTCTGAAGGAAAAAAAACGCAGTGGATAATTACGCCTGTTACCGAAATTGTGCGACTATTCAAGGAAGTTCACTGGGGAATCTCAAACTATGAACCTCGTTAAGGTAGTGTCGGAAAATTCCTAAGAATAAGGCAGCAGCAGGACACCTTCTGTACTTACTAATTGGTACTAATATTCGTGTACTGTAGAGAAAAGCGGTACGAGGAACCTTAATTTAACCTTTTTTTGAACTTTCCGTAACGATCACGAAGGTCTTTGAAACTGGGTATTAAAGGAGATTAGCGTGTTGTACTCTGACGTAGTTAGAGATAGCAAGTTCAGGATCACCTCTATCAGTCTGCTGTTTTGAAGAGAGCGAACTAAGCACTGCTGGAAGTGGAATTTTTGGCGGCATGTATACTTTAGGCGCTATCACAAGATAAGGGGACTCTGCGGCGTTTGAGAAACCAACGCCATTACAAATACGCGCAAGCAATTCTCACTTTTTGAAGTGCGCGGTTCGATATCTTCGTCTGGGGCGGGGAGTTTTTTGTTGTATTAATGATGAAATCGAGCAGGGGACATATTTCAATGTGCATGCGCAAATTTCGTGGTCCCAGGAACGGCTGAGTCCTAAAGGTTGCCCCGCATATTGTGATAGCGCCTAGATTCTTCACAGTGAGGCTGAGCTCACATGAGAATTGAGCCCGAACATTCCTGTTACCAAGTGGGGAAACCATTATTAGACAACACCGAGCTAAACTTATTCTTCGTTCACTTTAGTGTGACTGGAGCATAGTTGATGCTAGACTTATCTGGCAGAAGAACAGATGCAATTATATGGTATCAACTCTATGTGATTGGCTGGCTCCCAAATTTATTGTATCGTCTTTATCTCATACAAACATTTCTACGATAATAAGCGAAGTAGAGTGCCTGGCAGATCCCAAAGAGGTACACTGCAAAAGCGGATTTTCATGCTTTTGTCTTTTTATCCACAGCTGATGTACAGGCTATGTGCTGCTTAGTTCATACCTTATAAAAGAGATGGATAAATGATGTTCAGCTCTATACAGTAATCTTTTATCTATTCTTTATACCCACAAAACCACCAGTAGCCGAATCTGAGGGTATCTCTTTGGGACAGAGAGCTATCTTTCTATCAATCTATTTCTATTTCTCTGTTCCTTGCTATCTATTTTCAAGGAAAATCTTTTCAATTGAGCGTAATCGAATTCTGCTAGAAATTCTATTCGAAGTCCTGTTTTCTTTTGAACAGTTCTCTTTCTGAGTTCGGAATTTACCTGGCCTAGTACTCGCTCTCAGGCAGCACTTGTTCCTTGATCCCACTGATCAGTCGGAAGGAAGCTTCTCTCCCAAGCGCCTTACTCTACACCGCAAAATCCTCTCCCCTCACCATTCGAGGTTATGATGCATGACGAGCACATTTCACGGATCTCTCCCTCCGGTATCTTGGTTGAGATGGGATACCTTCGTCCGGGCATGAGAGGGACCAAACGAGCCGTGAAAAAGAAAATATTTGTCGTAATTTTGGAAGATGAGTGCTTAGCGCCATGATGCTCGTTCTTTCCTTCAATTGAGAGCTCTACGCCGCCCTCCCCCCACCCCTCCCTTAAACTGAGCTGTTAGGATTTATTAAGGCTCTGCTGATGCCAACCAGGCCTACACGAAGCGTTGAAAGTTTTGAATGACTTTGAGAATGAACAAGGGGTTCACATGACAAGTAGGTCATGGACCGTATTTGAAGTAGAACCTAGGTCAAAAACATACCCATATCGTCAACCATTAGTATAACTATATTCGGATGTGATGGTGACGGCGGTTGGACGCACGTCTGTGTTGAGGACGTCCATAACGTCCATAGTAAAACTGGTAACATTCTGAAAATTAGTCTCATGAATTGCAACGGTTTGAAAGCGACTATTAAA